CTTCCAGTTCCGATTTTTTGCGTTCGGTCAACATTACGTTATAAATTAAATATTTAGAAAATCGATTTTTGACATTTGTGAATCGATTCAGAATCGTTCACGTCTGCATCGCGATGCGTCTAAGAATTGAGTTTTTCCCGCGCCCCTAGTAATGACTGTGTTGTGTTTTGGGCTGCAGTATGCCTTGAAGATCATGGGCGTATTTGGTGATTTTAGGGCTCGAGGGTAAAGGAGGATTGGGACCTCTGGATGCCCGTTTTAAAACAGGCTACCCTGCAAAAAGTGATACCTTGGCAAGTGAAATCATCTTAAATCTACTCAATATATCCAATATTTCTCATTTTGAGATTGCTGTGAGAATATTATGTACTTAGTACTGTAGTAATGAGTAACTCCAGCAGTGGAGCTATTCACACTTAACATTCACACTGGTGTTATGTCTGGTCTGCTAGGAGTGAAGCAATAAACGTTTGTTTCATTTTGCTTTTTGCGTTTTTCTGCTGCACTTGGATGAGTTTATTAGATTTTCCTTCAACACACAGAAATTCACACTGAAAAAGCTCCTCTTCATAACAAAGATTATTGCTTAATTGCCTCAACAACATGGAATAGTCTGTTATAATTATGACCGCAGGGTTGAGGTGAGACTGCATTGAAATTCAGCAAATGAAAAGAATTGCAATTAACAGCTACTTTCATGTTTTGCCATTTTGGGTTTGGCCCTCTCTTTTTTTATACAAGCTCATGCAAAAAAGGTCATGGGCAAAACATTACTATATATATATATATATATATATATATATATATATATATATATATATATATATATATATAGATAGATAGATAGATAGATAGACAGATATATATATATCTTCATTTTTGTCAGTTGTCATTTTTCTACATTATTATCTGGTTTCCTCTCACAGTGCAAAGACATGCAGTCAGGTCAACTGGAGATACTAAATTGCCCCTGGGTGTGGATGTGTGTGTAAATGTGTGTGTCTGTGTGTCTGCCCTGGCAACCTATCCAGGGTGTTTACTGCCTTCCCTCCAATGACTGCTGGGATAGACAGCTCCTCCAGTGACCCAGAAGGATAAGCGTCTTAGAAAATGTGTGTGCGTGTGTGTGTGTGTGCGTGTGTGTTTGCGTGTGTGTGTGTGTGTGCGTGTGTTTGAAAATGGCAGTTGCCCTTTACACTTTGTGAAAATGTAAAGATGAATTGACCAATAGAAATGCTCCAAAATCACTTGGAATAAAACCTCTTTCTATTGACTTATTAGATATTAAGATCATTTTTGCCTTCACCTTTAAGATTAATATTTTGGAAATACGTTTTTCTATGAATAGTGAACACATTTGGAACAGGTAATTTAAGGTTATTTACCTTTGCCTTGTGTAAAGGCTGCCCTTAGATAACTCGGGCTGGATGCTGGAATATTTACAGGAATATCCGGAGTAGTTTGTAATCCAGGTTTCTTTGCCATACTGAAGAAATTCATGTTGGACACATAATTCATACTATTCACTACTTTTGGGTACAATCAGTATGTAGGTAGTGTGTAATAGGCTATTTCCAACACAGCCAATGACCGAAACTAGCCATCTGGATGCAGCCTATCAGAAAAAGTGGGTGGGGATTATACTGTGGACACACCCACACTCCAGTGACTGGGCCTTTTTTCTAAAATGCTCATCAATTCTAGGAATTGTGATTTTATGGATTTGTTATTGAAAATTGAATCGAATGACCTCAGAATCAGATATTGTATCGGAACTGAAAATATGTGCACCGTGACGGACATTCAGCTGCAGCTTGTTTTGAGAAAGTTTTCATGCTGTGCGAATGTTGTGAGTGTGAATGGCCTCCATTCTGTTTGTGAATGGAAAACTGTAAGAGCGAGTGTCTGAGCGTCACATGGCGTACAAACAAAAACCATCCGATTAGCCACTAGCACAACCCGATAAAAAGGCCAGAGTCTGGAACCAAACAGCTGCTTTTTTTTGCAGATAAAACATCTTTGTCTTCCTTCATGTGGAAGGAAATGAGTTCAGAAAGCCTTTAGGCTCTCAAACCTACTCAGAGTCTGTTTGTTAGGCCAGAGAAAATGTGCTTGAGTCATAAAATATTCACTACATCCTCACACAAAACCCAAATAATGAGTTACAGCTAATTAGCCCTCAGAATGTTAAAGCAGTAGGTTGGTTTCTCCGGGCAGTCTGCTGGTCCTCCATTCTCTCTTCAGGCTCTGGATTTTGGATTCTGGGCTGAATCATAAATTATGGAGAGTTTTTCTTGGTTGAATGGTTAACAGTTACTCGTGCTTGCTGAACAGCACAGTCCGAATCAGGATCACTTCACTGGCTGAGTGAACCTGCATGTGAAGGAGTTTCGAATGTAATGGACAATACAGAATATAAACAGAGTATAAACAGTAAACATTGCATACAAATAAACACATTCCAACAATGTGGCTATACAATTAGTGTTACTTGATTGCTTTGCTTTAATTTTGTATTTTTCTATTTCATTTTATATGCTTAATTTTATATATATTTTATTTCTATTTCATTTTATATTATAATTACATTGTTAATTCTCTTCTTGTTACTTCTTTTCTTGAGTGCCTTGCTTTTCTTGAGAGCAAACCACTCAAGAAAAGAAGTAACAAGAAGAGAATTAACAAAGTAATTAACTTAACAAGGTTACAGTGTTACTAATTATTATTAATGTTACTTGATATTATTATATTATGTTGTTATGTTATTATGTTAATTAAAATGAACAATACAACATAATTATAAATAAAAACGCAAAAAAAAAGTCTTTACACTGTAAGGATATTTTACCTGAATTGCACATAGAATATTGCACATGGATTATTGATTATATTACACGTGGGAATTGTGATGAATTAACAATATGAACATTATAAATACAAAAGTAAAAAGTCTGTACACTATATAGATATTCTACATGTATTGCACATGGAGTATTAATTATATTGCACATAGGAAATAGTGATGAATTCACACTTTGTGTTGTAGGTGTGTGAGGTCTAATGGGGGGTTGAGGAGGGTTCTACTAGGAGCAGTGCTGGTTGTACAGTGTAACAGCAGCAGGAAGAAAGGACCTGCGATAGCGCTCTTTCACACACTTGGGGTGAAGCAGCCTGTCACTGAAGGAGCTGCCCAGTGCTGCCAGAGTCTCATGCATGGGGTGGGAGCTAAGAAGCAAACTGCCACATAATAACAACATGTATAACATAACAGTAACGATTCTCCTTTATATAAATGAAATATACAGGGTGTTGAACAGCGTGCATATATAATATTTTAATCACTAATATTATATATACTATTTTTATTCAACATTTTACTAAATCCAAATAATCAGCACTAGTTATGCTCTCTCTGTAATAAAATATGCAGTTGGTCAGTGACTCCATCTATCTATTTACATATAAATACATATAAATTCATGTATAAATATGTGTATATGTATATGCATATGTATATGTACATATGTATAAATATATTTATATATAGTCATGTATATGACCAGATATAGAAAAGCAAATTGTGACACAATGACAATATATTAATAATAAATAATATTTCTCTAAATTCTAAATGTACAGGGTGTTAGACAGCGTGCTTATTTGTCTGAGCGTCTGGTCAAGGTGAATCAGACTGAAGGAGACTGACCGTCTCCCCTCCCCCACACTGCGCTACTGATCAGACAGGACGTCCGTCTGTAAGATGAGTCTGCATCTCAATAAAGCCAACCGACAGTCACTGCCCTGCTCTGCTGCTCAGAAATGAGACCGTTAAAGCGACAATTGAGCCTTCAGGATGGCTGCTACCGTTTTTAACTACATAGCATAGAGATCACTGATCAGCTCCACACGGTTTGAGGCAAATGTGTGATGATTTAGGCCTGCACTTAGTACCATGCTAATTTGTGTACATAAGCTTCCATTGCTTCTTAGCTACATTAGCTTCTTAGCTCCAAGGCTGGAACTAAAGAAGCTAGCTTCAGACACCAAACACGTCTTGGCTGGTCAATTACATTTGGTGTACAGTCTTTAAAACGATGATTCTGCAAGGGTTCTTTAGTAAAGAAAATAGTTCTATATAGAACCATGAACACAGTATCACAATATCACTATAAATAAAGAAAAATACCTAAAAAATTGTTTCTTCTTCTGATCTTCAGGAAATTTGGTTGCAGTTGAATATGTGATTTATAGAGCTGATATTTCATAGAGCTGGATAGATTGAGTGAATGTTGAGGGAAGTAAATGTACATTATTTGTAACCTATAATGCATGACTTATGAAAAAGGATGTTTCAGCATGAGACTTTGTACGGATTCACACATTTGTCCAAAAACAATATGATTTTTGAAGTATTTTAGTTATATTCGATTATATTATTAGGTAACGTGTGGTTTTAGTGGGCTGGGACTGTTTTATAAGTGCTGTAGATTTTGTGGGTTTTATTAATGGTCAGTTAATTATCTGAAACATAAATAATTGTGACGGACACTTAACCTGTGTTTAAAATATTGTAATCTTTATGCATATATGCGAACCATTTATATACATATTTATAGCTGGACTTCTGTCTGTACTTTTGTCTGTTATACATTTTGTTATGAGGGGAAAATTTGTATATATTAAATTTTCAGCTGAATTACTGCTTTAAAGTGCACTCGAGGCGAGAGTCCTTTGGGGTGAGTGTGCCATAGTGAATAATAAAGTGAGTCTGATGCTGGGGGGGGTGTGTTGAACAGTGGGGGTGAGCGAGTGGGGGAGTGTAATTAAAGAGATTAGCTCAGTGGGAGTTTCATTGTGTTATTGATATGTGCTGATGCTGTAATCCTGCTGTTCTTTACTTGATTTGCTGAGTATAAACTGCTGTAAATTTAGTAAAAGTGAAAATGAATTTTCTCTGTGTCTGTTCGTAACTCAGATCTGTGTTGGGGTTTTGATCACAGAGCCGTCCAGAGACAGTTTTACAGTGGACAGAGGTCATGCAGAAGGTACGCATGCTGTTTTTGTGTTTTTGTTTAATACATTTATATATTTTGCTGTTGATTCTTGCTCTTTAAATCAGAGGTTCACTTGATAAGCCTCATATCTGTGGATTTTAATTGTGACTTGCATAAATTTCATGTTTTTCTGAAGTGAATGTAATTGCAAGCGATTTCATGAAGGGTGATCTCTACTGATCATATTCATAAGCAAGTAATCGTTCAGTTATTTTGATGATTAATTAAGTCAACAGAAGGTCAAACTGTAAAAGCATTATCATCATGCAGACCATAGCTAATCACTGCCCATTTATAAAGAAGCTAAATTTGAATCAATGAGTAATCATGACAGCACTAATTCAAAAACTGTTTCTTATTGTGTGTGTGTGTGTCTGTGTGTGTGTGTGTGTGTGTGTGTGTGACAAGATCGAAAGACAAAAGACAATGAGTGCAATAAAAGGAAGTGTGTATATACATAAACAAATGCAAATAACTGTGTGTTTTGTTGATTTTCTAAGTGAAAAAAATCTTAAAAACATATTAAAAAAAACCATAAAATATAAAATGTTCCCCAACTTTTGCAAGCCACTGTTTTTTCAGTATGTTCTTCAGTGGTCAGAACCCCCATGGACCCTCACAGAGCAGGTGCTATTTGGGTGGTGGATCATTCTCAGCACTGCAGTGACACTGACGTGGTGGTGGTGTGTTAGTGTGTGTTGTGCTATTATGAGTGGATCAGACACAGCAGTGCTGCTGGAGTTTTCAAACACTGGGTCCACTCTTTGTCCACTCTTTTAGACACCCCTACCTTGTCAGTCCGACAATCGATAGCTCATCTGCTGCTGCACAGTTTGTGTTGGTCATCCTCTAGTCCTTCATCAGTGGTCACAGGACGCTGCCCACAGGACGATGTTGGCTGGATATTTTTGGTTGGTGGACTATTCTCAGTCCAGCAGTGACACTGAGGTGTTTAAAAACTCCAGCAGCACTGCTGTGTCTGATCCACTCAGACCAGCGCAACACACTAACACACCACCACCACATATATATATGTATAAACACACACTACACACTCCTTTCTCTCACTGAGGCAGAGGGGGCGTGTTCAGTTTGTCCATTTTGATGATTTGTCGTCAGATATAGATCTCACTTATTTAGACTGCTATACACTGCTTCTGCTGTAAGAATGACCTTTGACCTTTCTCTGTGACCTTTCTCCCTGTGGCAGGCGGGAACGGCTCCGTCGTCGCGGGGTCCCAGTGCTCCTGGATCTCCGGCAACTTCAATTGTGGTGAGTCGTCATAAACTTCATATCATACAGCAGCGCAGTCGGGACTAAACTTACATCTCCGTCTTTAAACTGAATTCAAAAACACCAGCTGCTCTTTACGCTGTGTGAAGTAGGGGCTGTACAACTTTCGCACGCTCTCTAAACGCTTCACCGCTCGGCTGTTCTTGCCCCGCAGGCCAGGATGGACAATCAGGTGATTGGTTATAAGGACCTGGCAGCCATTCCTAAAGATAAGGCCATCCTGGAGGTGGAGCGACCCGACCTGATGGTGTACGAACCGCATTTCAACATTTCGGCTCTGGACCGCACCGGCCTGTCCAGCAGCAGAGAGGTCAGAGCTTACGCTGTTCACAGATCACAGATTCAGCTGTGCTCAGGAATGCGGGAAGGTGTTTTAAGTTGGGGTGCTGAAATTTTAAGTAGTGTATATGTGACGTGAATGAAGATTTCATTCTAAATTTGTCTTTTTCCATTTGAATATATTTGATACTTTGCATCAAACGTGTCATACTGCACCATAACGAGGCGAGAGACGACCACATATACATAAAACTGACACATCAGAGCGCTGACGCACATCCTCTCTCTGCTCTCTCATTCTGGATGAAATTTATGCAAATGAGCAGATCGGTAACCAATCAGATTATTGATAACTGGCACGGTAACATTATGTCACGCTCAAAGTCACACAGTGAGATTTAACATTGGAAAGTACATCAGATGGGAAATATAATGGTTGATGCAACGTTATTATTATGTTAGATTGTTTTTTAACAGTTTTAAAACAGTATTAGGCTCCAGTAGGGATCAGAACTGGCCTCTATCTCTACATACACTTTTCCTCACCTCAACCTGTGTGTGTTTTAGCGGCACGTCCCCAGTTTGTCTCACTGTAATGAAAATGCAGAGTTAACCAGTGCAGCTACTGCAGATTTTGAAAATATACAAATAAAAATACAAAAATACAAACTTAAAACATATAAAACATATAAAATATAAAACAAGCATACATGAGTCTTTGCTGAGCTCAAATTATTAAAAAGTTCAGATCTCTGCATTATTATTAATGGTTTTAGCAGTTGCAGTCCTGAAAAGAAGAGCTGCAGCAGCCCCTCAGCACCCCCACTTCCTGCATCTCTAGCTGTTCTCATCAAGTTATCGGTCATTTGTTGAGAAGTGCAGACTTGAAAGTGTCTATACAGAATGCAAAATCATATGTAAATGTCATGTTATGTAACTAGCTATGTAATGCTGTAATTTTTATTAATTATACATATATAAATGAAATGTATGCTACTGTTCAAATGTTTGGAATCAGTGTTTTTAATAACACTGATGAAAAATGATTGACTGAACGACTTCACAGGGATTGCATAATCAGTATGAAGCTGTAAAAAGGAATGTAGAAATACTACTGTGTCCCGAATGATGAGCAGAGCTGTAAAAGGCTCTAAAATGACAAGAAATCTGTAGAACACCAAGAATGAAGCTATAATAAAATTGATATCCGGAAAGCTTTGTATTTATAAAAATAAAGATCAAATATTCGGACAGATAACTTGAAAAAAGTTTAATAAAATTTGTTAAACTAAAACTAAACTTTTGAACGCTGGTGTGCTCTTAAATCACAATAACTTTAGACTTCAGTGTGGTAAAGGGAAATTCCACTGATTTTCCAAAGTTTCTGCATAATTAAATAATTTATATGCAAACAAAGTAGTAAAAGAGAAACTTGCTGAGTCAGATGTCTTTACAGTGGTGGTGATAGGAACCAGGGGTCGCCATGACTACAACACAAATATGGACATTTTATTTACTATCCAAAATAACCAGTGAACCTACACGAGTCTTCTGAGTTTTATACGGAATATTGATGATGGTAAAATAGTGGTGAGTTTTCTTTGGGGACTATTTTGCCTGACAAGCATGTACCTCTCTGACCTAAATGGAGTTTAGAAAGTCCATATTTAGAGAGAATATTGTAAAAAACAATGTCTCAGTGACTGAAGAAGGAAAAAACATTAGTAACTTGTAATGCATGTTAACGTAACAAGATTTTTTTTTCTCAGTAAATTTGGAACGTTTCTATCTGTCTGTTCATCATGAAACTTTGATGCAATGTAAAAGGTGACTGCAGTTTTCAAGTGAAATATTTAAAAAACATAAAAATACAGGTGCAAGTTTTTGTGTGACAGCGACGTTATGCAAAAATTCTGAAAAGATGGTGGAATTTCCCTTTACCTGATTAAAATCTATCCGTACATGTGCGCATTGGTCAGAAAAATGGATCAGCATGTGAAATTGGAACTTTCTGTGAGCTTTCCTGTCAGTAGCCGTGTGTAGCTGTAGGCTAATAATCCGTTAATAATCCAATTAATATCTCGGAGTAGAATATGTCCATGTAAAGCAGGGGTGCACAACTCCGGCAATTAACAGATAAATGTAATCAGGTGTGTTGGAGCAGGTAAATCATCAAACTGTGCTGGACACCGGCCCTTCAGGACCGGAGTTATGCACCCCTGATGTAAACACTTCAGTCGGAGTAGACCAGTCTGATTGAGGACATTCCAAATACAATTTCTATCTGATGGAACTAGGTGGTTAATCCTGTAAATAATCCATTAAATAGAAGAATAATATCCATGTAAACGCCTGAATCTGATTACATTGACATTCGGAAGGTTTAAGTACGTTCTGCGCACATACAGACTTTTATAATGCTCAACATGGCAGGAGCAGAAACTGGTCTGCAGAGCAGCTGTTCAGACAAGTATATGAGCAAATAAACAACAGACTTACACAAACTACATCTCAGAATGTTGCAGGACATGACTTCTTCCTCCTGTTCTTTTTTAACCCTCTGTGGTCTGAGGTCATTCTCTCAATTTGTGCGTATCTTCTTAAAACCTCCTTTAAAGGCTCTTCATATAACATGACACTCATATGTTTCATATCAAAATGCTACATTATCTTCATCACTACTTTCCAAAATCACTCTCTGCATGCCATGTCACATGAGTCTCTGATGTGGACTGAATGAAGAATGAAGGGTTTCTGGCGTGATGGTCGGTCCTTAGTGATTTCCTGAGTGTCCATTGGTCAGTTTCACACAGAATGTAGACGGACACACAAATCCACCAGTTCCACGCGATGAGAGGCAGATGACGTGTATCTCAGCCCCTCTTCACAGCCTCATAACTCCAGATGTGAGTCACGTACGATCTCGTGATAAGATGGAATGGAAAGAGTGACTCTACACATTCAGGAAATGTTTGAACTGTATTTCTGTGCTGGATTATCACAGATACAGGAACAGATATAGAAACAGAGAATTTGACACATGGGTGAGTTATTGGACCTCAGAGGGTAATAAGTACCTGTGAAATACATTTTCCTGCCATTATTTTAAAGCAGTTAAGAACACAAGCGCTCCAACTGAAAACTGAACACCAATTGAACACACTAACTCACTGCTGCTCGTCTCACTGTGACTGAACTCATGTGATGCTGGTTGTCATGGTAACATCTACACTAAGTGGTACTCTACGCATGGCAAGCGTGTGCACACATTCAGAATACAGTTCAGTTATTGATCTGTTTCATCAGAGGAACTATCAGAGTAACTCGCTCTCTCTCTCTCTCTCCCTCTCTCTCCTCCAGAGATCAATGTCTCCTCACTCTGTCTCGCCCCCTCCGTCACCCGAGGTGAGACAGCTATTCTACTGTTTACCTGTAAAAACCTTCTCATGTAATAATTGAGGTTCCTGAATGGGTTCTGGCTTCAACATAACATTCTGTCAATAATGTTTAAGTTGGAATGGAACCGTTACAGTATGTGGAGGTTCTTTAAGCTTTGTAAAGGTTCTTCACAGTCACACATCACATTTATGAAAGTTGTTCTTCAAAGAACCATCTATTGAAAAGGCTGCAAGGGAACCTAAAGTGGTTCCTCTGTGGTAGAAGGGCTTCAAATCTGGATCCTAAATCCAGTGTCCAGTCCTGGATTTTGTATTAACAGTGGGTATAACACAGGCCATTCCAATCAGTTGCATCAGCAGTTCAGTGATCCCAGACCGGGAACTGGATTTAAGGTCTGGAATCGCAGACGTCTGTTTTCACTCCAAAGTTCTCATTATTCACTTCTCAGAGTAACGAGCTGATCTGATGTGTTTGGCTTCCATATCTTGGTAAATACAGCGATGTGGCCAACAGGGTCTGTTAAAACATTAAAATCAGCCAAGACACGTTTGGTGTCTGAAGTTTCTTTAGGTTTAGTGCTGAAGCTATGAGACTAATGTAGCTAATAAATAATGGAAACATATACCCCACCAATTAGCATTAGTGTCCAAAACTGCACCCTATTTACTATATAGTGCACTATTTTGGAGTTCTGCCATTTTGTAGTTGTGTCCAAAAAACTGTTCCTGAGGCGAGCTGTGATAGCTCAGAGGCGTTTGCTAGAGGGAAGACGGAAGAACAGGTGGGTGGGAGTCATCCAAGATGATGGTCAGTGCATGAGATTTTGGAAGCAGTCCATGCTTTAACGATTTTCGTCCATGATGCTAATCGGTGGGGTTTAAGCTTCCATTACCTGCTAGCTACATTAGCCTAAAAGCTCTAGTACTAAAACTAATTGACTTCATTTGAGGTAAGGTTGTATTTTTGTTTCATTACCAAACTATCACTTTAACAGATTATCATTCCTAATCTGAAGTGCTTGATAAATATGTCTGACTGTGCTCACCATAAAAGTCCGGTTCTCGTTGAGGATGTACCAGGCCTTTTGAGAACGTTCAGTCTGGGCTTTAATAGCGTCCTGGACATCTTTCAGACACTGAAGTAAAATACATTCACTTCAGAAAAGCTTTTTACCCTCAGCTGCCAGTTGGAGATGTTTACAGTGAGCCATAAATCCGCAGAGCCACACTGACACAGCCGGAGCTCCACCAGCCTGCTGAGTAATGTTAGCGTGAATGACTTACATACTCAACAGAAATGAACAATTTTCTGGACTGATTACAAAGTGCACTTAAAGTGATAGTGTGGTGAAAATATCAAACTTTCACAGTTGTTCAGTATCACTAATAAACTTGAATGTGTGGTACCTGACACTATGAGTCACTGTTATCTATAAACATGGACTAAAGTGTGTTAGCATAGCTAAAGGCATTAGCAGCCAACCTTAAGTCTGGATTTTCTCCAGGTTTGTGTAACAGTGTGTCAGAAACCACATAATCACGTTAGATGTGTTTAGGAAATGTGCTCACACTGCAGAAAATGACATTGAGTGAAAACATCTGAAATCTAGTGATTATATTTAATATTTCTCATCATGAGATTGTTGTAAGAACACTAAGACTGTTTAACCTGTGTCTAGACATTTTTGATTGTTTTAAGTTCATTTCATCTAGTGAAAGTGTCTGATTCATTTGGTGGATTATTTTGTTTTGAAACATAATGCAGGTAAGTTTGCTTGTTTCAAGAATAATACTCTTACTAGACTCTCACTTGACTAGATTTAAGATGTTTTCACTCACTATGATATAATGTTTTGTATATTCTTTGTTGCATTTTTGCATTTTTTTTGCATTTTTTGCATCCTTTATCTGTTCTTCGTCAGATTTTTGCCAACAGAGAGCAGAAGCCATGGTCTGAGCAGAGTTCTCCTGGAGGATCCGCCATGGGCTCTACAGTGCAGCTCCGCAAAATCAGCACCTCCTCTAAAGGGCCCCTGCAGCACTTCCACAGGCCAGGTATGACCCCTAACCTGAGGGTAAAACTAGAATTAGGAAGGTGATTGAATTCTGAGAGTGGCTTGTCCTTTGCATGATTAATGGGTTCTCTGCATCAAGAAAGCATTCTTCAGATTGATAGAGAATGTGCTGTATATAGCACCAAAAGGGTTCTGCTATTGTACCAAGCCTGACATCATAACAATAGAAGAACCTTTTTTGGTGCTATGTAGAGCCCTTTTCAAAAAGGTTCTATAAAAAACCATCTACAGCATATTTTTCATAAATCTGAAGTGCTTTTTTATGATGCAAAGAACCCTTTAATCATGCAAAGGGTATTTTGAGTGTTCATGGTTCTATATAGAACCATTTTCTTTACTAAAGAGCCCTTGAGGAACCGTCTTTTTTAAGAATGTGTATTGACTAGATTTAAGATCGTTTGACTTGCCAAGATTCATTTTTTGCAGTGTTCAGAAAGCGATCTCACCAGCACCATTAGAATCGACTTCAAGCGATATTGTGTTTCACATTTTTAAAACGTCTTCAAAATGTTCTCCACACCGACATGCGAATGAATCTATACTGTTAAGCCTGATTTGTCCTTAATTTTCTATGTGAAACATGACAGGAACTTTGTAACATTACCATATCACATGTTTCACCCTGACTCGATTACACATCACTTTCATCATCCACTGTTTCATTCAGGGCCACATTGACCCACACCTGTAACTCAGAGAGTGAGTGGGCATGCGAGAGAGAGAAAATGTGTGTGTGTCTGTAAAAAAAGGCAAATCTACTGTAAAACAATAATCATTTTAACTTATTATATTGAGTAAACTGGCTGTTTTAAAGTATCAGGTTCACTGAACATCAAATAGTCAGTGTGCACTCCAAAAATGGTACCTTAAATATAGTAGATAAATCAAACAGTTCTCCTGTTGCGACTGTTGTAAGCTTAAAATAAGATTGTCTAGATTATTTCTAGACATTGTTTACTTGTTTTAGGTAATTTTATTAAGTTAAGTCTCACTGTACTGGCAGATGAACAAGGGCAACAGTAGTTGCAATTTCAGTCAATGTTTTTTTTCTGTACTTCCCACTTGCTAAAAAAGTGTGTGATACAAGAAGAAGTTTACAAAGAAAGCGGAAACCATGATGTAGTGAGCTATCAACTGCTAGGAATTAATAATGCACAGGATGAGTATGGAGTTAAGAGATAAGATTTGAATTGGGTTCACTACACGACTTTTAAAGTCTGAACAGATTAGGAAAGACTTGGCGTCTCACACTATCCGACTGGTTTTTTTTTGGGGCGACTGAAATATTGGGAATCCACACTAAACGATTAGGGATCACACACTACTGAACTTTTCAGCTGGTGCAGAACCAGACGGAACTCACTGAACTCACGTGAACTCTTTGTTTGCTTGCTGTATTTTCAGCTTTTGTGCTCTCAGTTTTCATTGGCGTAATTGGAAGGCAAAAAATCTGAGCGTGTGCCCCTCAAACAGTACTCGACTCTCTCTACAACTGTCAACTCCGACTGACCCAAAAATCTGCAGACTAGAAATAAAAAACAAGAATAAAAGAAATAAAAACAATAAACCTCAAGCTAACCTTCCTAACCAGGTCTAATCCTCACCTAAATGAAGCGGATGGCACTCGCCCCTTACATCATGTGTCTAAACAATAAACATGTATGTACAGGCGCATCAAAACTTGCCTGTCCACACATCACGCTGGAGGAAAGATGCAATACAGAGAGAGAACAAGAGAGGGAGCAACAAAGTGAGACTTTACTGGCTACATAACTGCATTTTCAAGTCCGTCAAGTAGCACAGCTTAACAAAATTGCTGGCGCCCCAAAAGTCTCAGACACGCTAAAAGCTCCCACACACGACTCCTCTCAAGTGGGTCCTTTTATTTGCCAAGACCCGCCCCTCAGCAGACAGCAGTGACTCTGGTGGATAGAAGAGTGCAGCCAAGCATCAGTGATGTCAATTGCACACCTGCGTTGTAGTGTTGCAGAGTGAAAGGAGAGAGAGAAAAAAAGAGAAAGAAAAACAAAACCTGCATCACAGGCATGTAACAAGGACGTTAGAGACGAGACGGGTAGAAGAGATGGTTGATGTGGTGAGAGAGCAAATGCACAGAGAACTGTCCTTCTTGTGTTACAGTGAAAGTTAGACATCACTGCTGTCGGAACAAAACCTTGTATCTCCATTTTTGTCATTTTTGTTTTGGACATTATTTCAAAATGCCTGTTGTCCTTTACATTGTGTGTAAATGTCACAATGAATGGACCAAAGGAAACGGCCCAAAATGACTTGGAAAAAATTCTGGTTTCATTGACTTACATTAAAAGTAAAGTATGTTTTTTTCCTTCCCTTGTAAAGATACCATTTTGGAGATGCAAGGCTTTGCTCTGACAGCAGCGATATACAGGCTGCCTCCACAGTGCGATGTAAGGGTTTAAAGACCAAGCTGTAATATCCTTGTTGTGTTTCCTTTTGTTTCAGATAACGGAACCAACATCTACAGCAAGCCTCCCATTTACAAGCATGGTATCCATTCTGATCTCTTTTATCTTTATCTGGAAATCTGCAGTTGATGTGATATTTTGATGATCTGTTAGATCAGATTAGATTAGATTAGCCTGAGAGAAGCAGGTGCTGCTGCTGTAGTGACTGTGTTTCATCATGAGCCCTTCTCTGCCTCCACAGAGGGATCGGCAGCAGCCCATAATAAACACAAAGAGGACGTCATCATAGTGTCCTCCAAATTCCCAGCAGCCCAACCTCCGGACCCCAATCAGCCATCAAAGATAGAGACTGAATACTGGCCCTGTCCACCCTCTCTGGCAAGCATGGGTAAGTTAGCATTAACATCCTTTGAACATCACTGATATCAGGCCAGTAGTGCTCACATACACTCACTGTCCATCTTATCAATCCCACTGACCATGTAGAAGCACTTTGTAGTTCTACAGTGTAGTCCATCTGTTTCTCTGCATACTTTGTTACCCTGTTGTTCAATGGTCAGGACCTCCACAGGACCCCCACAGAGCAGGTATTATTTGGGTGATGGGTCATTCTCAGCACTGCAGCGACACTGATGTAGTGCTGGTGTGTTAGTGTGTGTTGCGCTGTTGCGAGTGGATCAGACAGCAGAGGGGCATACAGCTTAAATTTCCTCTCTAGTTGCTGACTGAATTATTACTCAGCGTGTGACATAATGAACAAACTAAGTAAATAAAGTGAAAAAGGTGAATTGTCTAGTCTTACATTACTCTGCAGGAGTGTATCGATGGGCGTACTTTCAGATTCTGTATGATTTTTCATTCTGAGGTCAAGATTCAGTTTGATTTTTAGCTAAATAAACTCAAAACCCTGCAACTTGTAGCATTTATGACGTCACTGTCGGAGCAAAATCTTCATCTCCATTTTTGTTGCTTTATTTTTGTTTTTACATGATTTGAAAGTGCCAGGTGCACTATTGCACCTCTATACCATCATGAATACTGGCTTTTGAACTGTGCACTGATAACAAGCAAACAATTTCAAAAAGAATGTCAAATGTTGATTCGTCAGACCAAAGGACACTTTTCCACTTCCCCTCAGTCCATTTTAAATGAGCTCGGGCCCAGAGAAGGTGGCAGCGTTTCTGGATCCTGTTTATATATGGTTTCTTCTTTGCGTTTTAGAGTTTTAACTTGCATTTGTGGATGCAGTGATGAACTGTGTTCACAGACAGTGGTTTTCGGAAGTGTTTCCACTAGAGAACCATGTCTGTTTTAATGTAGTGTGGCCTGAGGGCCCAAAGATCACGACTAGCAAATACTGGTTTTTGGCCTTGTCCCTTGCATACAGAGATTTCTCCAGATTCTCTGAATCTGTTAATGATATTATGTACAGTAGATGATGGAAAGCAAAAGTTCTTTGCTATTTTATGTTGAGAAACGTTATTCTTGAATTGTTGCACTATTTGCTCGCCTTTCACAGAGTGGTGAACCCCTCCTCATCTTTACTTCTGAAAGACTCAGCCTCTCTGGGGTACTTTTTTATACCCAATCATGTTGCTGACCTGTTGCCAATTAACAACCAGGTGTTTTTTAGCATTACACAGCATTACCAGCCTTTTATTGCCCCCGTCCCAACTTTTTTGGAACGTGTTGTTGGCATCAAATTCAAAATGGGCAAATATTTAAAAAAAAACAATTTCTCAGTTTCAAAATTTGATTTGTTGTTTTCAATGAAATATGAAAAAAAGGGTTTAAATAATTTGCACATCATTGCATTTTGTTTTTTATTCCATTTTGCACAGCGTTCCAACTTTTTGGGAAATGGGGTTGTGTTTTAGCAAGTGAAAAAACACCTTAAATCTGGTCTAGATATCTAATATCTCTCAGATTGTTACCTATTATAATTTTGCTAAATAAATCGTCTTAGTGCATTTGATTATAATTATTAATAATAAGTACTTGAAATACTTGTTTCATTTTATCGTAACTGTATGAAAGATTGTATTAAACCAGCACACGGTGATCCAGACTGTGATATAAGGAGTATGTCTGTATTTCGCTGTAGAGATTGAATGGAGGAGGAAGGCGGTGGAGCAGGGCAAAGCTTTAGAGGACGATGAATTTGAGGACCTGACTGAGGATGCCAAGAAACTGCAAGAGCAGGAACTTAATAAGGTCAGAGAAGAACCTTCACCTACAGCACCATGACTGTCATTTTATTTATTTATTACGAAACATTTACATATATCAGTTTTTTCTACAGATGGCAGTTTAGCCCCGCCCACTCAAGCTGTAATTAGGGTTCTGATATTGTTACAAGCAGAACCCTTTTTGGTGCTGCATACACAACACATTCTCCATCAATCTGAAGAACATTTCACCATGCATAGAACCATTCAAGCAGGCAAAAGGTTCTTTGAGTATCTGTAGTTCTATACAGATCCACTGTCTTTACTAAGGAACCTTTGAAGAACCGTCTTTTTCAAGAGTGATATGGTTTCTCTTTCAGATCCAGTCCAACTTGGGCAAACTGATCCTGAAGGAGGAAATCGAGAAGTCAGTGCACTTCCGGAGGAAAACGCGCTCTCTGCCGGACAGGACACACATGCACTTGGGTGAGTGATGGTCTAATGATGTTGTTTTGGTTTGTGGTTTCTGTTCTTCCTATCACTGATAAGAAAAACACTGTGTTCACCAGTCACTGATGACCCCTAGTGGTTAGAAAGTGCTGAGCATTATTACTCTTTTAAGTGTCATAAAAATTAGGGACATTCTGTGAGTAAAACCCACAAAGAACTTTAATCATGTTTGGACTTATTTTGGTCCAATAAAGATTTCTTACACAGAAACAATCAGAGTGCATAGCACTACTGTCTATTCACCCCACACTGTGAGCAGGCTGGTAAGTAATCTAGTGTAAAGGGTCATGTATTTTTTCCTCTCTCTGCAGGTTCCGGTGCATCCAAGTCTGCCTCTTTACCTCCTTGCAGCCGCTCTGGACTCACCCGGGTACGCACTTCCTTCCCCAAAGACCAACACTACACTGCCAAAAATTCTGTTTAAAGGACCTTAAAGAGTGTTTTCTTGTTCTTTTTTTCCTGCTTGTAGCTGCAGTCAGCTGACTTTACCTCCTCAGACAGCGACAAAGTCAGAACAGGTACGTCAAAAAGTGTTGTCACTTTATTAGCTACCTTGTGCTTCCACTAACTGGCCACTTTATTAGAAACGCCTACCTCCTAGCTATACTCATTGGCCATTTTATAAGGTCACTTTATTGGTCCTCTGGTTCACCTAATAAACTGATAACTCAGTAACTGTATTCTCTGATCCCATCAGTCTGATTTGTTCATTATTAACTCTGTGTGTCTTCATTTTGTGTCTGTATTCTCCAGGCGTGCAGGTAAGCACATTTTCTACTGTAAATCACGCATGACTACTAACTATTAGCAGGTCTTTGCTTATATTAATAGGCAATCATACTTTTCATGCTTTTTCTTTTCGTTAATTTATCTGTTCCTTGCTACTAATGTATATTTGACCTGCCCTGAAGAGTTCAGCCTGCACACCCCTTTTTTCATTCTGCAGAGCTCATTTGATTTTGAATCCTTGCAATTAGAGGGTGACATTTGGACAGGATCCACAGAAAAAAAACTTGTTAAAACAGACTGCTGCTGCCGCCCAACCCAAATTGGTCTGTACATGCCATTTTACCCCCTCACAAATGCTGTAACATTTACCTACCCAGGATGCAGAACTGAAAAAGTGAGCTATGCTGAGTTAGGTGAACTCCAGTGCGCTCAAGTTAAGATAACTCCATAAAGGTTATTTATCATTATAAGTTCACCTGACCTTTTTTTACAGAGAGGGAGCTGCATCAAAACCTGCATGATGTAGTTTATCGGGATAGTAATGTCAGTACACAGTACAGAACAGTACAGTGTAGTGTAGTACAGAGCAGTACAGTACAGCATAGAACAGTACTGTACAGCATAGAACAGTACTGAATAGTGCAGTACAAAACCGTGCAGTACAGTGTACTACAGAAAAGTATAGCACAGCATAGAACAATACAGTATAGAACATTGCTGAACAGTGCAGTGCAGAACAGTGCTGAACAGTACAGTACAGTACAGTGTAATGCAGTGCAGTGTAGTACAGTATGGTGCTGTACAGAACAGTGCAGTACAGTGCAGTATTGAACAGTGCAGTATAGAACAGTGCAGAACAGTACAGTGTGGTACAGTACAGTACAGAACAGTACCATATAGTACAGTACAGAACAGTGCAGTGCAGTATAGAACATTGCTGAACATTACAGTACAGTGCGGTACTGTGTGGTACAGTGCAGTACAGTACAGAACAGTACCAGAGTGTACAGTACAGTGCAGTACAATGCAGTACAGAACAGTACAGTGCAGTATAGAACAGTGCCAAACGGTGCAGTACAGAACAGTACAGTGCAGTATAGAACAGTGTCGAACAGTGCAGTACAGAACAGTACAGTGCAATGTGGAACAGTGTTGAACAGTACAGTGCAGTGTAGAACAGTGCAGTACAGTGCAGTACACTAAAGTTCAGAACAGTACAGTGTAGTGCAGCATAGAACAGTACAGTGCAGTACAGAACACTATAGCGCAGTACAGAACAGTGTAGTACAGTAAAGTACAGAACAGTACAGTATAGTGCAGCATGGAACAGTACAGTGCAGTACAGAACGCTATAGTGCAGTACACTAAAGTACAGAACAGTACAGTATAGTGCAGCATAGAACATTACAGTGCAGTACAGAACGCTACAGTGCAGTACAGTGTAGTACAGTAAAGTACAGTGCAGTACAGAACAGTGCATAATGGTATAGTTCAGTACAGTGCAGTGCAGCACAGAACAGTACAGAGTGGTACCATGCAGTACAGTACAGTACAAAGCAGTACCATAGAATACAGTACAACGCAGCACAGAACAGAACAGTACCATAGAGTACAGTACAGAGCAGAACCGTGCAGGAGTTTTCTTTTTTCTCTCATGTCATGCTCTATTTGCAAAGCGTACAGACGTGATAATGAGGCTGAGAGCTTTCATTATTGTGAGATCCTCTCTCGTGACGAAGGCTTTAATGCTGAAGCCCGACACTGTGAATGCGTGTGTTCTGTGTGTGTGCTCATGCTGCTCTTCTGTGTGTTGGGCTCCGTTCTCGGCCGCGTGTAGAACGGAGAAGCTCAGAGAGGGCGAATGGACAGAGGAAACTCACTGCCCAGCATTCTGGAGCAGAAGGTGAGGCAGACTGGCTGTCTTTGAGTCATTAATGTTCAGAGTGTCAGAAAAGCTCCTCCAAAGTTTGCCTGTTTCTCCTCCTCCTGAACCCTCCGGCCTCATACTCACCCACATCCCATAATGCCTCCAAACCTATCATGTACTGAATGCCATGTTTAGTATGCAATTCTCTGGAAATGATGTAATGTGTCTGAAAACTTTGGAGGTGGCCAGTCCAGCAGATTCACTGTTTTAGCTGAAGTAACCAGTTCCTTTTAGTGTTACTGGCCACAAAATGCATATAGATGTTGAAATTGGCCAAAAATTCAGTTCACTTATATTTCTATAACACTTTAGAGGAATCTAATTTAAATGTGAAGTGTGAAGGTGACGCCACGGCCTGTGTTATTCTCATTTGTGCCTAGATTTTCCCTTTAATTTTCAACACATTGTAATACACTCTTAAAAATAAAAGAGATTTGTGAAATTGAGGATCCTTTTTGAAGAACCTTGACATAATGTAGAGGTTCTATTCAAACTAAAGGCTTATCCTACAACCGTCCATGAAAGCAAAGAACCATTTAGGAAGCTTTATTTTTCACTTCTTTTCCCAAATTATATAAAACTTAATACAATTTTATTTTTCTAGGATTAAATTCCAATAAAAATACAATAAAATTGGCTACTATGAAAACTCTACTGAGTTAGCCATTTCAGATTAGGCAGATAAAGGATCTGATGGTTCTTCAAGGGTTCTTTAGTAAAGAAAATTGTTCTATATAGAATCATGAACACTCAGAGAACCCTTTGCATGACTAAAGGGTTCTTTGCATGGTGAAAGTTTCTTCAGACTGATGGATGTTTTTTTAGAGAACCTTTTTGAAACATCAAAAAGAAGCATCAAAAAGAGCTTGTAACAATAGAAGAACCAATTTTGAATGCCATATGGAAACCTTTTCAAAAAGGTTCTATATAGAACCATCTACAGCATATTCTCCATCAATCTGAAGAACGCTTTGATGATGCAAAGAACCTATTAATCATGCAAAGTGTTCTTTGAGTGTTCATGGTTCTATATAGAACCATTATGTTTACCAAAGAACCCTTAAAGAACCGTAATTTTTAAGTGTGTATATCAGGCAGGTTGTTTTGATTTGTAATGTAAATAAAACAGATGAAAACTAACAAAAAATATGCGCTAAATAACAAAGCTAAATCATAAATGGTGAGAGTTCTCAGTAGCTCCGCCCCCACTGCTCCATTAATTATAAGACCACTGTTTATTTGTGTTTAATAATTTGACCATTAAGAACTAACAGTCATATTTTGACAGTTTCAAACTGAAATCTGCTTAATTTTTGACCATGAAATGAAATCAGCTGATATTGTTTATCTGAATTTTTACCTCCTTAAACTGGCATCAGGATCGGTAGCACAAATCATCCTTTATGTGTGTGTCTTCAAAAAGCTGTATAATGCTTCACTAATCAGTCGCCAGTGGGCTTAAATACTGGTTATTTAATCCTGTAGCCTGTAAATCTGTCCAGTACAGAGTGTACAGATGCTGCCTTTACTTTCTCTTACAGATTTATCCATATGAAATGCTCATTGTGAGCCACAGAGGGCGCTGTAAGCTTCCTCCAGGAGTGGACAGGACCAGACTTGAGGTATCACCAGAGAACTTGTAGAGAGAGGAGAGTTATCACTCTGTAATGTCTTCTGGGTTTCTCAAACGCAAGAGGGCGCTCCTGAGCGAGTCCAAAAAGAATGTGTTAAGATGGAGCGTTTGAGCAAAATCATACTTTAGAAATGCTCAAACCTTTTAATGTAAAAGAATTAATTTATATCCTGAACACAGAACAGCATAAAACATTTTAACACTGCTGTTATATTTTTAAGAACTTTTAAACTCGATTTATAGTTTAAAACGGCGCCTCATGTACGTTCATGACGTCAGTGAGTACGAACAGCGAATTAGCTGCTCCGCTCACCAGCCAGTCAAAACTCAGTATCAGTAATGCTAACCAATCAGCACTCAGTCTAAAATTAAACTTCTGAGTAAATGGTTAGAAACTGTTTTAACTTTTCATTTTTAGCTGTTTAGCTCCATTAACCCTGTTCATTGAGGACTCGCTCTCGGGCGCCCTCTGGTGTTATGCAGGCCTGTTTTTTGATATAACGGCAGAAATAGGAAGTGGCCAGGCTCCACATAAATCAGCTCTGGTATCACTGAACATTCTCTCAGTTAAGTCTTTTTTACACTGCCCAGCACACAGTTTTACAAAATAAATGACATTAATGATGTTTTGTTTGTCAGTTTAGCAGCAGCTGACCATATTAAATTCTATTCAGATTTATAATAAGATTAGCATGATTTGAAGATAAACACACAAAACATCAGTATATACAGTTGTGTGCAAGACTTTTAACACCCCCAGTGAAATTATGCATGTTGTTGACTCTACCTTGACATTAGAGCCAAAAAATGAGCATGTTTACCTTTCTCTAGCCTGTCACTGTACAAAATCCAGGTCTACCCCTCATATATATTCTTGATGTAAATGTAATATCCTACAACTGCACATTTCAATGCACAGTTCCCTTTTATTTACGAATTTATGATACTGGAAAAAAATCCACATAAAATGGGACCTGTACAGCAAAAAGTAGAAATTGCAATAAAATGTGCAGAAGTGTGTCAAACATTACTCAGTTTAACCTCCTGGGGTCTTTCAGGATTTGTTCATATCTTCTAAAATCCTCCTTTAAAGGCTCTTCATATAAAATGACACTCATATGTTTCATATCAAAATGCTCCATTATCTTAATCACTGCTTTCCAAAACCGCTGCAGCAACTTCAGCAACTGTAAACTCTCTGCACACCATTTCACATGTGTCTCAGATGTGAACTGAATGAAGAATGAAGGGTTTCTGGCATTATGGTCGGTCCTTAGTGATTTCCTGAGTGTCCATTGGTCAGTTTCACACAGAATGTAGACGGACACACAAATCCACCAGTTCCACGCGGCGAGAGGCTGATGACGTGTATCTCAGCCCCTCTTCATAGCCTCATAACTCCGGATGTGAGTCACGTATGATCTCGTGATAAGATGGAATGGAAAGAGTGACTCTACACATTCAGGAAATGTTTGAACTGTATTCCTGTGCTGGGTTATCACAGATACAGGAACAGATACAGAAACAGAGAATTTGACACACTTGGCGAATTCTTGGACCACAGAGGGTTAATCAAAGCATTAATGATTCCACCCCCTTTCCGCGGTAAATGAACACAAGCGCAATGAAATACGATGAATTGTGAAGTGACTGTTTTGTTTGTGTCTCTCCGTCAGAGGCATCTGTCTCCAGAGGAGTTTGAGAGTCTGTTCGGGATGCCCATCACAGAGTTCGACCGGCTGTCACTGTGGAAACGGAACGAACTGAAGAAGAAAGTCTCGCTTTTCTAACACAAACATCAGCTCTAATACGGACTCTCATTATGACCTGCCTGGGAGACTCAATAAACTCAAATCTGTTACTAACACAGCTCCGTTTCAGGATAATCCAACGTGACGACCACAAATAATCAGCTTTTAACTCGACACATATCAGCTTACTTACGTCTCCGTGTACAATAAATCAGAATAGGAAGCTCACCGTTCTTCTGTGGTCCATATCCATCTGTTATCAACTCAAACGCAAAGCATAGGGCTCAGAGGTCACTGGCCTTCTCCTGACCATCGGCCTCCTGCAGTGTTCAGGTCAGTCTTTAGTCTAATACAGTTCCCATTTCCAGTCCTGCTGCCCACCCAAGGAAAAAACTCACTTTACTTTTAATGTAAGTCAGTGGAACCAGATGTGTTTCCCAGTCATTTTGGGACATTTCTTTTGGTCCCTTCACCATGAAGTTTGCACACAATGTAATGAGCAAGAGGTATTTTTAAATTATGTAAAAAACTGAAAAATGACAAAAATAGAGATACAAGGTTTTGTTCCGACAGCAGGACTGTGTTCGCACATGCACAGACTTAGAAATCCGAAAGAAATCAGAGTAAGCGTTAACATGCTCAAACTCCGTTCTAAGAAATCGGAGTGTGCCATTTACATGATCACTTGAATAATCAGATACCCTGCAGACATCAGATTATGATCAGACTATTGAGTACATGTAAACACACTCATTGTCATTTGCTTTTTGCTAAAGTATTCAACTGGTTTGCTTCAGATCATTATTTCTTTGCAAGTTTGCATCCAAAATACCTTTGTGCACTTTATTGATGACCCCATTCACACTTTAACGTAGTCTTACTTTAGTCTTAGCAATAGTTACACTGTCCTAATACTTTAGGCCAGCAAAACATCATATTTACACACTTTTTCTACTGCAAAAAATGATGTATTAACAAGTGAAAACATCTTAAATCTACTCAGCATATCTAATATTTATCACTGTAAGATTGTTGTAAGAATATTATAAGATTATTTCTAGACATTTTTACTTGTTTGAAGCAATTTTATCTAAATGAAGTGACAGATAATTTTAGTTGTTTAAAGCATCGTTCACAAAACTTTCACTAGATAACATTACTTAAAATAAGCAAACGTAGAAATAGGTTGAATATTCTTAAAATATTCTTACAACGTAATATTGATAGATGTTTTCATTTACAAAGATATACATTTTTTGCAGTACAGGACAAAGTTGATCAGCAAAATGTTTTTAAGGCTGTATTCACAGAAAAGATTTGGGTGACTATTGGCTTCTATTGTTTGTTAGCTACATTAGCCTCATAGCTCCAGCTCTGAACTGAAGAAGCAACATTTGGACACCAAATGCCTTGGCTGATTGATTATATCTGGGATAAGTGTGGAATTGTGTGAATTAGATTTTTTGCTGAAGCATACCTTTAACAAGACTGTTCATTAGGAATGCCAAGGTGGATATATTGCTTTATACAGGCTATTTTTGGGGTCTGGTCAAGATTCCCCATATTTTTCAGCTCTTACGCACCTGATTGAGCTCCAGAAGGACTTGAACATTTGCTAAGGCGTGCTCGAGAGCATAGACCTATGCAGTTTGGATAGAACAGAGGCCTACAGCTGGAACCATTGACCTAATACAGCTGATTGCGGTTAATCAGTTTATTGGATAAGGCTTTTTAGACTTTATTGAAACTGAACTCTGCAGGACGGTAGATCTGCAGGGGCAGGTTTGATGGTCATTGTGTACAATACTAACGCTTGTATTCCCTCTGAAACAGCTCAGTATCAAGCTTACATTCTATACATAAATATGCTACCAATACAGTTGTATAAGGACGCCAATTTACACCGTCTGAAAGCCTGATTATCGCCTTATTCCTTTTCTATTAGTCTGATTCTCAAAGTGCCCAGTTAAATTTGTAACATAGGCGTATATATATTTACACAAAGTCTTAATCGTGACACCCTTTTAATTGTGTTTTGATCACTGACGTTGCCATCGTTCCTATTTATTGTCTCCAAAAGCAGCTGTGCTACTGTATGAATATATTGTTTATTTATTTACTTCGTAGCCATTTAGGTCACGGCGATGAATTCAGACATTGTTAGTCATAAAAGGAGCTACTGATTCAGCATAGTTCATATGCATAGCTAAATATTTGTTTTTTATTGATTCATAAAAAAATTGCATGGATATTATCTAGCACAGTATAAGCTACTTTAATGAGAGCAGCTCCTGCAGTGGGTTCCGGACTGATAGTGCGTCCGGTTCTGTTTGAGGACTTCAGTTTCATGCAGAGGAAAGAAAATCTCTCTGTCCTCCTTTCGCTGTGTAGAATTTACCTGCAGGGACGCATCATATCAGAGTTATTATTATAACAGCTTATTCACATATTTACACACACTTATTCCAGCCTGTTCAGCTCTTGTTTTAGGTCTGTAGGCCACAGTGCTGAAGGGCAACTTCACAAAAAGAAAGAATTCTCATCTACACTCCTAAAAAAGTGGTTCTTCAAGGGCTCTTTAGTAAAGACAGTGGTTCTATATAGAACTATGAACACTCCAAGAACCATTTGCATGCTTAAATGTTTCTTTGCATGGTGAAATCGTTCTTCAGATTGATGGAGAATGTGTTGTATGTGATTCTATATAGGATCTTTTTAAAAGTGGTTCTAAATAGCACCAAAAAGTGTTCTGCTATTGTTATGATATCAAGCTTTTAACAATAGCAGAACCCCTTTTTCTCAAGCAAGCCTTATTATTTCGGTGTGAGTGGGTGGGACTAAATGCTATGGATTGCTATGTTGACTAATCGATAAATCAGAAAGCCAAACTTGAAAAAAAAATTGGTTCTATATAGCATCAAAAAGGGTTCTGCTATTGTGACAATGTCAAGCTTAAAGCAATAGCAGAACCCTTTTCGGTGCTACGTAGAACCCTTTTCAAAAAGGTTCTATGTATAACCATGTACAACACATTCTGCATCAATCTAAAGAACCATTTCACCATGCAAAGAACCCTTGAAGAACCATCTTTTTGAGAGTGTAGCAAGTCAACTTAAAGCAAAAGTCAGGACTGTGCAGTAGGGGTGGGAGAAGAAAAATCGATACGAAATATTATCACAATACTTTCAGTAAAAAAATAGTATTGATACATAAGCATGGGTATTAATTTATTACATCATTATTATTATTTTTAATGTATTGTTTTAGTGCATTAGACCAGTTGGCCATAGCAGCATTGATAGCCAGTTGGCTGTCAGATTGCTTTTTAGTTTCTTTAAATTGCAAAACTTTGTTACAACATGTAGACAGTTAACCAAAGAATTTTAAAAATGAGAAATATTATTGTTGTGACAATTACTTGCAAAAATAAAACATTATACTTAGGTCAAGCTTGTTGACCAGCTTGGCAGAATGCATAACTGATGTGACAAACATAGCTGGCTGTATTTTCAATCTGAAACATTTCTCTTTTTGATCATATAAAATTCACCCATCATGGATAAATGATTACAAACAGAGGATTTTTGGAAATTTTGTGGTGTTTATTATTGTTGCATGATTATACGTTCAATAGGCAACAATATGTCATATTTTATAGCAGTTGGGTTGCCTAAATCTTATTGTGAGACATGGAAGCTTTTTGCACCAATTGCAAAAGTTTGTGAAACCCTATATTAAACTAATAAGATGCCAAAATGATTTGTATTCTGATGTCAAAGTATCTGATAAATATGTAAGAAGATGAACAAGGAAAAAAACCCACTTCTGAAATAGTGCTAATTGTTGCCCCCCTGTGGGACCATCCTTTTTAGTAAAGAGTTCTGACATAAAGCTGCCACCACTGTTTTACACTCCCCAGCCTAAAATTGCTTAGACTACAACTCATATTCACAGTCAGTGACATATCTAGAACCTCCAGAAGGACTAGAGTGATGGTTTTACATACAAAATTGGTCCCATTGTAAATCAAACCCTAAATAGTTGATTCCTCTGTCACGTCCTAATTATGTTGGTAGTTAATCCAGTGTGTAAGCCCTTAAGTGCAGCTCCTGAAGTCCTAACCAATGGGAGAGCTCGCTCGGCTGTGTCTGCCTAGATACCACAGAGGGAGCAATCCTGATTGGATATTTTCCTTTCCAACCAAAACATAATGAAATAAGAGTATTACTACAACACTTACACACTTACAGAGAGTTTGAAGAGTTTATTTAGGGGTTTCCCATCACAAAATTCACAATAAAATCTGGTCCTGGCACAAGTATCGTGAGGAAATCGTATCGAGGGGACCTCTGATGACTCCCACCCCTACTGTAAAGGGTTCTCCTACATTATGGATTTCTTTCTTGCTCAGTGAGAAACTCCTGCTTTGTGTAAAGCCCTCAGCTGATGTGTCCCATCAGAACTGATTGTTTTTATCCATATTAGGACTAATTACTGCCTCTGTTATAGACGGATGCACGCAGACAGTCGCTATTCTCATCCTGCTAATGTGTAAAATCATGCACTGCACGCCTCCCACGGGGAACTCTGCGTCCACAGTGATCACGATTCTGTTCACAGCTTCACGTCTGTCTCATGAATGCTTTTCTGTTTAATAACGTTGTGTACTTGAACAAATAAAGCCATTGTGTCCGTTCTTGTGTTTGCATCATTGGAATTAAGAACTGTGAGGCCAGATGTTTTCCTTATTTGACCCATTTGTGTAAATTTCATTATAGTGTTATAGATTACACAAACACATTGTCATAAAGGCTGAGTTAAACAAATAACAATAAATAAACTCAATCACTTCAGTAAAGCCTAAAGAGATGTTAGAGTTAAGGGGGTGAAAACTGTAATGGTTACATCTGAAATAAAAATTCTCAGTTAAGTAATCTTGGTTCCATACCATCACACAAGATTATGTTCAAAAACAATACTTACATATGACTAAATATAATTATAAAGCCATACACGTACATAGCATATAACTAGAAAAGCTACATCACCTCATCTGCAAATCACTATAAAATATTTATCTCGATTAATTATCTGTAAAAACAACATGCTGACAAGTTAAAGTAGGCCAGCATTAAAAAAACACATTGTTCTAATTTGTTCATTGGGGAATATGTTTCCAGCATAGCTCTGCCATCTAGTGGTGAATGTAGTGCATCGCCTCTCATTCACTTTTACATATAAACCCAATGACTGTGTGTATGACCATAATCATACAACAGTTAGTGTAACCTAATCGATCATTTCGTGCCCATTACATGAAGAAGTAAACAAACTATGGTACACAAATTGCCAAACAACAGTTTATCAGGAAGTCTTAGAAACTGTACAGTAGAGTTTGTCATGTGTGAGTTTCACTAAGTTTTAAAGAGTCCATTCTCATTGAAAAATGGATGTTTCTCAGTTTTTTTTTGTTTTTTTTTGAAAAAGAAGGAGTTTGATGTTGTATGTAAACTGTTAAAAGGTTCAAACCATTCACTCCCCAGTTCACACACACACATCTGTATAAGGGAATTGAGCTGGACAAACATGCCCTGTATCAATGTCACAAAGACCAACGCATTTGCAAATATCCACTTATTTGTCCTACATTCTTAAAGAAGATGGTTCTTCAAGGGTTCTTTAGTAAAAACAGCAATTCTATATAGAACCATGAACATTCAACAAACCATTTGCATGCTTTAATTGTTCTTTGCATGGTGCAATGGTTATTTAGAGTGATGGAGAATGTGTTGTATTTGGTTCCATGTAGAACCTTTTTTGAAAAGGGTTCTATTTAGCACCAAAAAGGGTTCTGATATTGTTACAAGCTTGACATCGTGAACACTGAAAGTGAAGTACAAGACAAAGGAACTCTTTGAATGAGTGTTCCTACTTCATTCTGGGTCACTACACACTTAAAAAAGATGGTTCTTCAAGGGTTCTTTAGTCAAGGACCCCTTTGCATGACTAAAGGGTTCTTTGCATCTTTACAATTCTTCAGATTGATGGCGAATGTGTTTTACATGGTTCTTTAGAACCTTTTTGAAAATTATGGAGCCCTGCTGATGACATTCCAAAAAAAAGAAAAATAATGAGTGGCCACACCAGATTAACGCATGGGAACGAGATCCTAATGTGTGGGACTTATTAAGGCGTGGGAATGAGATAATTAAGTTGTGGCCACAACTTAGTAAGGCGTGGGAACAAGATTATGCCTTAAGAAGTTGTGGCCACGCATTAGGATCTCGTTCCCATGCCTTACTAAGTCATGGCCATGACTATCTTGTTTGCACGCCTTACTAAGTTGTGACCATGCATTACTTTTATTTATATAGGATGTCACCAGTGGGGCTTCTTAGAAAATGGTTCTATATAGCACTCTAGGCTGTAACAATAGAAGAACGCTATTTGGTGCTGTATAGAACCTTTTTCAAAAAAGGTCCTTTATAGAACCATATGCAGCACATTCCCCATCAATCTGAAGAACCTGTTCATGATGCAAAGAGTGTTCATGGTTCTATATAGAACCATTTTCTTTATTAAAGAGCCCTTGAAGAACCGTCTTGTTTATGAGTGTAAAAGAACTGATAAATGATCCCTTTTGTTCTTTTTCATATGGCAGCCAAACAGTTTATATAATGAAACCCTGGTGCAGTTTTCCTGTTGAACACTGGGTGGCAGTGCTCACTCACAGACTTACAGAACACATGATCAGCACTGTGGGTCTGCTTTTAAACCTGAAGTACAACTACAGTCTCATTTCAGTGGAGAATCTGCATTCAGGATGCTCTTTAGTCCAGGACTGGGTTTAATCCCTGTCTGGAAAACCTACATCTAAAAAAAGCTGGTTCTTCAGGGGGCCTTTCAGAACCATGAACACTCAATGAACCATTTGCATGATTAAATGGTTCTTTGCATGGTGAAATCGTTCTTTAGATTGATGGAGAATGTGTTGTGTATGGTTCTAATAGCACCAAAAAGGGTTCTGCTCTTGTGACGATGTCAAGCTTGTGACAATATAAGAACCCTTTTTGGTGCTATATAGAACCCTCTTCAAAAAGGTTCTATATAATAACATACTCCTTCATTCAATACTCATTCTCCTTCAATTTAAAGAACCATTTCATCATCCAAAGAACCATTAAAGCATGAAATGGCTCTATATGGAACCACTGGGCCTCATTCTCCAATATCTTCCTAAGTTTGTTCTTTAAATGTGTTCTTGAGAAAGGTCCTAAGAAAAAGTCTACGTCAGATTCATGACGTGTTCTTAAAGCGCAGAACTTTTGTGCTCTTGAGTGTGTTTAGATTCTGTTTTTACCTAAGAACAAACCCCAAATAAGAAAACACAGGTGAGTGTCAGAATCTTCATCAAAACTGTGTAAGTGGGTTTTAAGAAGAATTTTTTTCTTAAGAACGGTTGGTGAATGAGGCCCATTGAAGAACCCTTTAAGAACCATCTTTTGTAAGGGAGTACTCTTTATGTCCAAAAGTTTGTAGACACCTGCTTGTCCAACACTTCTTCTGAAATCAATGGTTTTAAAGGAGAGTTCCTCAGATTTGTTTTTT